CTTTATAATGGGAGCACACTTTAGCACACGGCTTTACAATGGGACCGCACTTTATCACCATCCCTTTATAATGGAAACACACTTTAGCACCACAGATTTAAAATGGGAGCATATTTAGCACCATGTCTTTATAATGGGAGCACACTTTAGCACGAGGCTTTATAATGGGAGCACACTTTTAACACATGTATTCATAATGGAAGCACATGTTAGCACCATGGCTTTGTAAAGGGAGCACACTTCAGCACCATGGTTTGATAATGGGAACATACTTTAGCACGTGGTTTGATAATGGGAGCACATTTCAGTACCATGGCTTTTAAGAATGAATTAGTGATGCTGAGACAGTGTTACAAAATATACTTTTTTTCTAGATTTTTTTTTTGCCCTGGAGAAACATTGGAATGTCTTATCTTATGGACATGTATGAGAATACCTAAAATAGAAGTATTTGATATTTCAGGAATTTGGAAATTAATTTCCACCAGCAAATTAAATGATGAATTTTATAATATGCATAAGTATACATTAGAACATTCTATAGCACTAAATTAGTTCTAAAAGGCAACATTAATATGAATAAAATTTGTATAGTTAAAAATAAAAATAAAAGAATGAATATAGTATGTGTGTATGCATATTTGCCTGTGAATGTATATGTGCATATATGTATATGTATACATTTATGTTGTGTTGTTTAACACTAAGAAAATTCCAGCTAATAGTAGGCTGCAGTTTTAAATGTGGAGACTAACACAGGAAGATTTTGGAAATGCTCTCGGATTTAAGTGACTTATCTTAAGCTGAATTATGTTAATACTTTATACTACTCTTCAGAATGTAATTCTGTCTCCTTGATTTTCATATCAGATGCATACACAAAATGTATGTATTCTCTTCCCTTTTGCAAACTAGCTTATAGAAGTGAATTCAGAAATGCAAACATAGAAATAAAATAAAATAAACATAGAAAATAAATATTCAAATGCATTTATACTTTTCTGAATGTATGACTACTTCTGCACATAACTATAGAGAAAATATTAGAAAATTACACATAATTTGATATCAAAAAAGAAGAATTCTAGAACAAAATCCATTGAAAGTACAAGATTTTATGACTTGATGAAATTATTTTGCAAGTTACACCCAATCTCAATGAAGACATTTTTTTTGAAAGATCTGATCTTTCTGGTTTTGACTCAGCCAACAACTCAGAAGCCTGTAAATAATAACATTATAAAGGTTGTCAGAGGCACAGAGAGCATGTCAGCATGCTAGGAATTCATCTCCCTATTCTGATTAATATTAAATGTGAGCAATTTCAGACTACTGATTAGATTTATCAATAATTAATGCAGTGTTATTGTGGATGATTAGGGTTATTTCCTTTACTGGGATTTTTAAATCACTTTTAACATCTTGGTATAAATTCTTCATAACATATATCCTTGCATATATTTTTAAAGCTTACCAGAGAAGCTTTATAATCATGAATACTCATCTCAGCATATTCAGAAGCAATTTTTATCCTTCTGTTTCACCAATGCTACAGTGAGAACTTTAGATTCTATATATTATTTTTTATACTTCTGTTTTTCTGTATTTTACCAACATGTGAGAAAAGAAAGTAGGAATGCCAGCTTGGGATATTTTGGTACACCAAAATTGCAACACATCAGCTTATAACTAAGTTCCTTTTATCTTTGGAGACCTTGAACACAAAACTCTCTCAAAATATAATGTTTATCTTTGTACATGCTATTATATCAACGTATGGTGTTATTTTCCTTCAAATAGCTCTCTGATGTCACAGAATACTTACTGTTTGGGAAATCAATATGTATTCATATATCAGTCCAGGTGTGAAAACATAAAATTTGGAAAATAAGAGACCACATTGAGAACATTTGAACTAAAGAAAAGCTACTTTAAAAGGAAATTGTAGCATCTGCAATTTAAATTATCAACAGAACAATTGCCTGGGAGTTCTGTGCATAGTATCGCTGAAATCTAAGGCACATTCCTGAAAAACTTTGGTCGTTTTAATGTGTTTGGATTACATACAGCATCACTGCCTGAAAAATTCGGAACTCCTCCTTGTATTCTACAATAGGAATCTTCGTGTATTTAAACAAATAAGTCAAAATCACACAAAAATACAAACACACTTCCCAAAAGTAATTTTATATCAAATTATAGTAAATCCATTTATTGATTTCTACATTAATTCATGTCAGGTGTGGAGATACAGATAAACTTTAGATACTTAACTTAAATACTTAATTTTAAATTTAATATTTAAATATTCTCTCGAGTAAAAGAAAAGTACAAAATTATTCATACATGTTGTCTCTGAATATCCTGCTTTGATTTGATTAACTGTGGTCTATAATTTTGCTTAGATTTTATTTCTATGAGACAAAAATCACTTAGGTATACATCCATGGTGCCTCTTTGAGAACATTTCCAGATAAATTGATCTGGGGAAAGAAGATTCATTCTGAATGAGGATGGCACTACGTAAGTTCTGGAATAAATAAAAAGAAAGCAAAAAAAATACAAACTATGTATTGCACTGACATTCATCTCTGTATTTTCAGAATTGTAGAAAATGTGACTAAGGGCCTCATGCTCCCGTGACTATGCCTTCTCAAACTGATGTTCTGTAATCTTAACAAAAGTAAATCCTTTCTTCCTTTGTTTGATATTTTTACAGGAGAGAGCAAAATAAATACACTTAAATAGAATCTGTAATTTATAGAATCATCTGTAACTTATTGAATAGCTAATTTTCAAAAGGAAGAATGTTTGCAGAGAGGTATAATAGAGGATTCTCAGTTTATGAGAGAAGCAGTTAAATTGTCAGTATGATCGCGTTTGTCTTTGAACTTCAACTCTGCTACTCTACTGCACTGAAACATGCAAAATTCTTAGATTGTGCAGCAGGTTGCTCCTGTTCAGTGTTGAGATTAAATATACACCATCTGCAAGTATAAGGATGTTAAGTAATAATTATGGATCATATAGTATATGTAATATTGATATATAAAGTTAATTTATATTTATTGATATAATATTGGTGTTTCTTCACATCAGCTGCAATGAATAAAGAAATCTGGAAAGTGGCAATAAAGAAGCCACAAATTTTTTTTTTATTTTTAATTTTAAGTAAAAGTTAAGTAGAAAAAAATTATTAGCTGAAAATCCAAGTACTTTTATTAGTGAGTGTTATGGAGAGGAATGAAATAATGCATTTATTACACAAGCCAAAGAAAAATAATTGAACCCAATCGCATTTTCATAATGTTTTGCAGCTGGAATTCTCAGAAGCTGAGAAAACATAATGAGGGTAGCCATGTAACTAGAAGGACCTTTTAGCCTTCTATTTCTTTGCTAATGTTTGGGTAGAGTGTAGACAACTTACTGAGGAAGCACAAAAACTTGCAAGAATGAGTTGAAACTTTTCATCTATCAGTGTTTAATATAAACAACAGCAGAAAAGAGCAGGAAAAATCAAAATCAAGGTGTGTCCCTATTTGAAGAGGTATGAGGTACACCAATTCATAGGATTCCAAGACAGAAAAACTAGTTCTAATATGCATGAGATTCACTATATACAGAGTAGACATGCACAGTGTGCCTTGGGCCCTCAAGGGATAAGTGATTTCAAGCAGAAATTTATACACATGTGGTAATAAATAAAAGGAAGGTTTCTCCCAAACTGAATGTTATCACCAGAAGTTTTATTAAACCCACCAGTAACATTAGAGAAATGCTGGCAATGGTGGCAAATGCCTTTAAAACCAGCACTACAACAATAGAAAAATTATTTGTGCAATAGAGGCAAACCTGGTCTATTTAGCCAGATCCTGGGCACTCAGAGCCAGTGCATCAGTGAGACATTATCTCAAAAAAACACAAATATTTGATAAAATATAAATGAATCACTATTATTATATATAGTAAAACCAAATTCTGTATTTTTAAAATATTTAATAAAAGTTGTTAAAGAAAATTGGGTTGACTAAAATATAGGAAGGTCATTTCTTATATTGCTGTACGTAGGATATAAGACTCTACCATTACCAAAGATCTCTAAGTTTAGAGAAAATTAAACAGACATTATCTTATAGGATTGAATGTCATTTGTCTATTTTTGAGGACCTAAATTCCCCAGAAAGAAGCACATGTTCATCAATTCCTAAGACTAAAATGCACCTGATTTTCATGACATGAAACTTTAAAAATTTGGCTGATTTGGGGAAGCAGATTGCCAATGGAGCAATAGACATAAAACTCTGTCAAACTTACCAGGCAATTTTCACTCATAGACCTTGTCTTAGTCAGCGTCCTCTTGCTTTGAAGAGACAACATGACCATGACAATGCTTAAAATTAAAAGCATTTCACTGGGGCTTGATGATAGTTTCAAAGGATTAGTTCTCTGCCATCATGGTGGAAAGCATGGCAGTGCATAGGTAGTCGTGTTGTTGGAAAATAATCACGAGTTCTACATTCAGATCTAAAGATAACAGGCAGTGTGAGACTATGCTCTGATGAGCATTTTAAACCTCACATCACATCCCTAGTGACAACTTCCTTGACCAGGACCACACTGCTCCGAGGTCCCAATATCACAATCCCTAAAGCCACTCCAAAAGCGAGCTTATGGGGGGGATTCTTATTTAAACCACCATATTCCACTCCTGGCCCCCATAGTCTTAAAGCCATTTTATAATGCAGAAATGAATTCAGTGTAACCTCAAAATTCTCCATAGTTTATCACTGTCTCCATGTAGTGAGGAGCAAGCAGGCCTGCTTTTCGTCCCGCCTGGCTCCCACACCACCAGCTAGCTTTTGCTCCGAAATAACAACACACAAACTGTATTCATTTAAACACTGCTTGGCCCATTAGCTCTAGCCTCTTACTGGCTAACTCTCATATCTTGCTTTAACCCATATCTAGTATCTGTGTAGCACCATGAGGTAGTGGCTTACCAGGAAGATTCTAGCCTATGTCCATCTTGGGTCATAGCTTCTTCGCCTCTGTCCTAGAGAGGAGAGGCATAACGTCTGCCTCACTTCCCTTCTCTCCAGCATTCTGTTCTGTATACTCCACCCACCTAAGGGTTGGCTTATCAAATGGGCCAAGGCAGTTTTCTTTATTGATTAACCAATGAAACAACAGATTGACAAATGGCCTTCCCACATCATCCCCACACTGTTTAAAAGTCCAAATTTCAATGTCTGTTCTGAGACTCAAAAAAGTCTCTTGATTCTAACCCATGTAAAATTAAAAATCAAAATTCAGACCACATATTTCTAGGATACAATGGAACAGGACATACATAACCGTTCCAGAAGGGAGCAGAAGGAGCATAACGAGGAAATGCTGGGCTGAAGTGAGTCTGAAAACCAGAGAGACAAATTTCAGGCTCTTCATTTCCATGTCTGAAAGCAAAATACTCTCAAGATCGCCAACTCCTTTCAGCTGTGTTAACTGCAACACACTTCTTTATCTTGTTCTGGTTCTAAGGCGCTCTGCGGCTTTCCTTGGCAGGTATTTCGCAGCTCTGGCCTCTCCAACACCTTGGCGTCTCTAAAGCAATCCAAATATTGCCTTCAGAGCTTCACGCAATGCCTCCTCCAGACGTCCACGCAGAGCATTCACTGACACGTGCCCAGCCTCAGTTGTGTTCCTTAGGTAAAGAGGAAGATTCCATACATCCCTTCTTCTATCCTTCCCTTGAAACCAGAACCGCATGGCTGAAGCTGTCAAGGTATTTTGTTTGCTAGGGCTTGAACATGGCCCCCAAGTTTCTAATGTATTTTCATCAGCTTTCTGGTTTTTGGTGGTTTCTTTCACTGCCTAAGCTTAGACCTCCAACTCTATCTGTAGTCGAAGCTGGTCTTGACCTCAGAAATGTGTCTGCCTCTGCAGTGCTTAGAATAGAGAGAGGAAACACCTGGCCTTAAGCTTTTCTTTAATTCCTTTTTACAAGCTGGAAGTTTAGTTGGGTAGTGTCTTGCCCTGATGTCACCACTCTCTTTATTCTTTTAGCATCAGGTTTTTCCTTAATCTTTTTATCTTTTTGAAAACAGGACATAGCTGTATTCCATTTCCCAGTGTCCCATTTCTCCTCAAACTCTGTATTTTTTTCTTTTTTCTTTCTCGGTTTGCTCCTTTTCATTGTAGATCTGCACAAGACTGATCACTAACACCCAGGGCAACACAGTCCTTACTGGGCTTTTATGAAATATCCTCCGCCAAAGCCATTAATCCAAAACTTCAATTTATTCACTGGCAAACTTTTCTGACGGGGATAAAAAGGAGACACATTCTTCGTTAAAATATTTCAAGAACTTTCTCTAAGCCACATACTAATATTCGATCCATCTGAAACTCCGCAGTTTCAATCACACTTCGGATCACTGTCTTCCATTCTCCTACTAGGTAGCCCATTAACCATCTTAAAGTTTTCAATACTTTTCCTCTCTAAAATCACCAATTGCTCCACATTCCTTTAAACAAAAACATAGTCAGGCCTATCTCACTAATACCCTAGTCCTTGGTATCAATTTCTGCCTTAGTCAAATGGCTTATCCCTGGGAAGAGACACCATGACCACAGCAACTCTTATAGACCTATTTTCTGATTTCCGACATACTTATGACAACTATTATGTGTAACAGAGTGTGGCCTTGCAATTTTCATTACATACTGACTCTGGCCTCCTTCCATCTCCCCAACCAATACTAGGGTTCACTGTCATCTAGTATTAGGATAGCTTAACAGATAACTGTATTACTAACAGAAATTTAAGTTCTATGCCATATTAGTAGATCAGGTATGCAATATCACAATTTTAACACAAAACATGTTTAAATTTTGATATATAAACAAAAATATACAATGAGATTTTTGACATTTTGCAAGAAACACTGCACAAGCCCATCCTGAGTTGATTCAGTTCATGCTGAGATTCTGAGTGGATTAGTGAGTTCTTAAAATACTTCTTTATTTTTATATAATTTGTTAGTTTATTTGTGGTTGTGGGTTTTGAGACAAGGTTTCATGATGGTACCCAGTCTGGCTTTGAATTTTCATCAATTCTCCTACCTCTATCTCCCAAGTGCTGGAATTAAAAACATCCTTCATCAGGTCTGATTGATATCACCTCTAAGTAGCTGAATTTACTGCAGATAATAGCTGTCAATTGATTTAGTGGACACTTATTAAGGAACACTGTGGAAATCACAGTAGGCATTATTCTTTTACAATTGACAAATTTGTGACCAACTGTGCAGTTTAGAAATGGCTGGTGAAAATTCTTGCTTTGGTATTTGCTAGAGTTTGTTGTTTGTGCATTCATCCTGGCTTCAAGGAGGGCAAAAATATATTCATTTTACAAATTGATACAGTTATATTTAATCTATTTTAGACTGTCCTGAAACAGCTGCTTTTTTAAACTAATACAGTATATTTAGATAAAATCATTTGACTTAATTTATGTGTTTGTTTTGGTTTTTTACATTATAATTATGTCACAGAAATAAGCTTTGTGTTTCAATGTGAATTTTTAGAATAATTGAAATGAATAACTGTATTTGTACAATTATTGTGTTTTGATAAATGATACCATATGTCCAAAACTGATTTATTCTGGTTAAATAGTTTCAATACCAATAGAAAAGAAGAAATTCGGGTGTCATTCTATCTACTGCTTTGTTCTTTATTTAATAAAAAAGAATGCCTGCTTACGATTGGAGTTTAGTTCCTGGTGTAAGAAAAATAAGCACTAGATGCTTTCTCAATTACAAATTAGCATTTTTATTTACTTCGATAATAAACTAGCACTCAAAAAAATTGCTGTCTACCATAGTAAGTTCCAGAAATTGCAAATATATAATACTGGGAATATTATGTGATGGCAGTCCGCCTGAAGGGACCCAACATCATTTGAACACACACCTTTGGCAGCGAAAATGAACATAGAATAATGGAAACAAATGACAAAAATTTTTCAGGAAAGGAAGGCTATCTGCTATATTATTATGAATGTACCACAAATTTTGATGGATTAAAGTACACACCCAGTTACCCATCCCACTTCTGCTCAGCTACGCTCAGATTTCTAATTTGTGTGAATTTCAGTGTAGTCTAAAAGGTGAAATAACTCTGACCAACCACACTGGAATAGAAGAGTTAATCTGGCATGCAAATTTGGAACAGCTAGAGCCACAACGAGTCAGGGCCAGCTGGACCCAAGGAGGAATTGGCATGAAACAGTGATGGGATCAGTTCCCAAACCAGAAACAGGGCTAACCAGAAGGGAGGAGAACAAGTGGCTGGGAAGAGAGCCAGGTACTCAGGATCCCCACATATCCAAATCAGCCCCATTCCCCAGTGATCCAAATAGAAGAACCTTTGTTTTCAGACAACATAAAGAAACTGCATTTTCTATAAAGCCTTGAGTCAATTAAAGGTTCTGCCAGTAACCATGACCTAGATCAGTCAAAATTTCACAATGAAATTTTGTTTAAAAAATACAAGTACTTTCCTAGTCATGTTTTATATTGCAGATATCTGAATTTGAGGGCAGGATGATCCTACTGAATACACAATGACAATATCAAATTACTGTGATAGTCAAAGAATTCAAATGATGATATTAAATAATTATAATGAAATTATTCTATTACAGATGTTATTTTAGAAATTCTGATATGAAAATGGTAATTATTTTTAAAAAAATATTCGACTTTATCTTTTTATATATATGGTCCAATAGGAAACAACTAGTATTGTCGTTGTTGTTGTTATTATTACTGTGTGAGTGTGTGTATGTGTAACACAATACACATGTAGAGGACAGAGGACAACTTTGTGGAGACAGTTCTTTACTTCAAACTTGATATGTGAGCCGGGTGGTGGTGGCGCACGTCTTTAATCCCAGCACTCAGGAGGCAGAAGCAGGTGGATCTCTGTGAGTTCGAGACCAGCCTATTCTACAGAGCTAGTTCCAGTACAGGCTTTAAAGCCACGGAGAAACCCTGTCTCGAAAAAAATCAAAAAAATAATCAAACTTGATATGTGTTGCAAGAATTGTACTCAAATGTTACATTGTTGGGTGACCAGTGCCTTTGCCCTTTCAGGTATCTCACTGGCCCATGGCCCAAATTTTTGGTATGAAACTCTGGTGTGTGAAATTTCTATCTAGCCAATTATTTTCACCAATATTTATACATATTTAAGTCTTCTTTGTATTAAGTAACATATGACAATTTAGTCAGAGTTTTATAATTTTATGTCCTTAATATGGTAGGTAGTGGTCATTTCCCAATATACAAGGGAAACCTGGGTAATCTTTCCAGAGAATACCAGCTTAAGCTGTGTTCTGGGAGCACCGGTAACAGTACTATCACATGTTTCTTTGATACACACTGCCAGTTTATCCTTTTAGCTGCTTTATTGTCTCCTACAGTTATTTCGTGGTTTTAGTGAAGCTTCTTTTTCAGCAAAAGCATGGGGAAAGAAGATTGATGTCCCCACACGATGGGGAATCTTTGTCAACCAATTGTCTTTAAAAGGTGGGACCAAGCCGGGCAGTGGTGGCGCACGCCTTTAATCCCAGCTCTCGGGAGGCAGAGGCAGGCGGATCTCTGTGAGTTCGAGACCAGCCTGGTCTACAGAGCTAGTTCCAGGGCAGGCTCCAAAGCCACAGAGAAACCCTGTCTCGAAAAAAAAAAAAAAGGTGGGACCAAATTACGATGTGGCTTTCCGAGATGTGGAAAAAATCAGCAAGCGGCCCTGGTGCCCTTTCTCTGTGTGGTTTCCTCACAGCACAGCTGAGCTTGGACTTTTCATTCCTGTTTTGTGAGTTTTTCTCTTATAATAAATAAAAATATAATTATTTTATCTTTTAGCTAGCCTGGTTATTTCCCAAACCGAGTTAATTCAACAGTTGGCCCCCAATGTGAAGGGATTTGATTATTACTTATATAAGGTAGAAGGGTCCGGGTGAAACCATGTAGGCTCAAAAAACAATGAATAGGATAATAGCTAATTTAGTGTGAATTTATTCACACTAATAATA